TTATGAGAAATAATAATGCCGCACTCTAAGCCCAGCAAACAAAAAGCAAAAAGTTATTCAACCTCGATAAAATTCTGAGACCTTCACGTTGGTGGTTAAAATTAAAGAAATACCTACATAACTCGCTCCATTTCTACGTGAACCTTGTTTTACAAATGTAAAGATAAGAGTATAATTTCTTTCACTGGGTCATACAGAACATAATCTATGCTGTATATTTTTTGCTCTACAGTTACCAGATAGCCGCCAAAATTTTCATTTATTTAATCTTTTAATAGGTGGACTTTTAAGTTGTTTCTTTGAATTTTTGCTATGAGATATCTCAACAAATGTTGGTATGTGGCTGACGCAGAAAAGGGACGATAAGTATCTACTACTTAGACTCAAGTATTCAGCGCCCCGGCGAATATCGATATGCATACATGCATACATACATTCTTAATTTTAATATTTTTAATTTTTATACACATACGGACCAAATTATTGGCACAAAGAACTTTTCGCAATGTGTGCAAAGTTTTTTAACTAATTTGTTTTCGCTAATTTTTTTATATAAAAATAGCTCATATTACGACGAAAACATAAAGATAAAATGTCAAAACTTTGTGCAAAACTCAGGAAAATTTAATAAATTTTCCAAATTTCAATGGGATTTTTTGCAATTTTTTTCTAACAGTGCCTTTCGTTAAAAGTATGCTCGCCATTTCTTTTATATGGAAGACAGTGTCAGAAAAAAATTGCCAAAAATCAACTGCATACTCAAAATCTTTCTAGAAAATCTATTTAAAATGTTGCAAATTCATTGAATTTTTCTGAGTTCTGCATAAAGTTCAGACATTTTATTTTTAGGTTTTTTTTTGTTGTTATATGTTTTTTATAAAAAAAAATAGCGATAAGAAATGTGAAAAGTTGTCTGTGTCAGTTATCTTTATCCGGGAGGGTAATTTTGAAATATTTTCAACTGTAATAATGTACTTTATTAAAAAACAATTTCGTTATTTCGTTAACGCTGCTTTTGAACTCAATAAAATATACTCATTTGCTAATTATACATAAATTAATTTAATACTTATTTAATTTTCCGTAACTCAAACGATTTGAAAATAGACTAAAAAATTTCTCGGAAAAGACGCGAGAGTAATTACAAATCCGACTGAAAAATTACTCGAAAAAGGCTCACAAATGTTTACAAATATGACTCGGAAAGGACTAAACATTTCCGGTTTAGAAAAACGACTCGAAAAAGAGTCAGAGAGAGAGAGGGTACCATTTTCAACCGACAAAAGAGTCTTTTATGATCAGAATATGAGCACATTTATGATTGTTTTAATCACACAGAGGACCCAAAAAAACTCGAATATGATCAATAATTTCAGAAAATGCTGGGTTGGTAATGTAGTATGTGCGTATCTCGTTTATGAATTCGCAATAAAACTTAGATATTCAAGTTTACTTACAAGTTAATTAGCAAAACGTGACACAAATTTGGAAGCACCTGTAGGTTTGCTTATTAAACTAAAAGCTGCCTTAATAAATGTACGTATAAGTACATTCATACATACATTCGGATGTATCAAATGTACATTCTACATATTGGATAGGGTCAAAAAAGATTAAGTACATATCGTAGTTGCCCAAATTTTTGCAGGAAAGCGTCAAGGCTTAATTTAAAATGGTTCTCTGTTTTATCCCCAATAATCTCCACCTCGTATAGCTAAATATCGATCTTTAGGTACGAACGGAAAAAGCTTGATCCCAGGAGCTTCCGGTGAGCAAATCCCATTTTTAGCACAAATGTCGCTTAAGAGGTTTTGCAGAGCCACGATCCGCGGTTTTGCACTTTCAGCGACGATATATTTGTATTTATTTAATACGTACATACATTTGTACATATTCACATGTTTTTACAGCTGTATAATTGCAATCTTATTCGGCTACATACGTAGTTCTCAAATACGTTCGTTCTTCGCTTTGTGCGATAAATTGTAAATTTTGTTGCTATTGTTTTCCGCTTTTAGCAAATGTATGGCAAATCCATTTATGCACTGCTCTTTCAATAAATTTTTAAGTACGTGTTTGCATGTTTTATATTTGTTTGCGTTTGGCTAAAGAATGGAGTACTCGCTATGCGAAAATGCTGGCACCTGAGTATGAAACCGCTTAAAAATATGGAGGCATTGAGAAAAATCAGTTGTAGTTGAGACAAACCGAAGTGCGATCATGGCGAAAAATAAATTCTATTATAGAAAGATAAATCTGTTAATTATTTACATACATACATATAAGTAAACAAAGTATGTACTTATACTTTATAAGAAAAAATTGTCTATAAATAATTATATTAACGCTGCACCAAAAAGATTGGCCGATGAATATATGTATAATGACAGTATTCTGGTACAACTCTAAATCGGGTACAATTGGGCATTAGTTAGTCGCAAGATTAATTAGTTTGAAATCATCCTTTACGGACATAATCTCCCGTTAGCCGAATCATCTCTTCCTAAATCTTATAGAGGACGACTCGGAAAATTTCGAAGTGATCAACACGATGCGGCCTAGATTTGAATTCGAGTAAAATTAAACTTTCCTAAAAATATATAGATATAAAAAGCCTCGTAAGCTCGGTTAAGTTCTTAGACGTTGTTTTTGATAGGGTGCAAGTTGGGAATTAAATTTCACAATTACCCGCCGGATCTAGAACCATTCCGTTATATGGGCTAATTTTATGGTAGTCTGTTTTGAGTGGAACGGCTAACATCAAACCCTAAAAAAATTTTACTTTCTCGCTAGAACTCTCGCTGATTACTGTGGTCAGATCACAGTTTCTGAAAGCAACTCCAGGTCCGGAATGCCAAGCAGAGAAGAGTCTATAATTCGTAGCTCTAGATATCTATTTTTTTTGCAAACTAAGCAGACCTCAGTTAATACTTTACGCAAATATTAGGTACTTAAAATAGAAATTGTTTTAATTTTTTTTAAGTAGTTCGATCGAAGCAAATATTTACATGTGGACATACTTATGTGCATTTGAATACTAATGAGAAAAAAACAACAACAATGCAAAAAAGCAAATGAAATCAATAATGAAAAGGGGTGGCGAGTGTTTCTAAAACCAGTTTGCTGTTTGAGTTACGCCATGTGTGCACAAAGCGTTTTTTGATGAGCTTAATAATAATAGCAATAGATTGGCGCTAACACAATAGGGGTATTCTCCAAATCTTGCAAAGCCATTGCATGTAGCACGGATTGCATGGATTGCATAACTTGCAAACACACAACAACAAAATACATGGGAAACGACATTTCCTATCGCTGCAAAATATGCAACGTCGAAACCCATGTATATATTTTGCAAAATAGCATAGCAAGATAATAGCGACCCTGTGCTAGTTGTTTTGTTGTTGGAATTGCTACATATTTCTCTCATTCCTCTCATCTCGCTCACTTAATTTTTTTTTGCTGTCTCTTGTTATTGTATTTGATACATAATTTCGCTGCTTGCTCCCCATGCATGCTACCACTTTGCAATGGGGTGTTCTCGTACTCTTCGAAATTTGGAATAGTATTTTTGCATTTCGTGCAATCCGTGCACCGTGCAAGACTTCGAGAATACCCCTAATATGTTTTTATCAACACATGATCTGGTTATAGTTACATTATTTGTTTATAGTTACCAAATCATGTGTTGAGAGGAATATATTTGGCTGACTTTTTTCTGAGTGTACAGTTTTACGTCGACTCCGAACGGCGATTGTATTTTTATGAGAAACTGTTTTTCATGGCAGAATGCACTCGGAGGTTTGTCATTGCCTGCCAGGGGTGACCATTATAAGATAAGGTAGATCTATACGAAAAATTCCTGTCTACTTACAATATTGCCAGGTTAAATGCGAACCAGCAGTGAAGAAATCAGATTCGTGCATGCCAATGTTATGGAAACTCTTCCGAGTAATTTGCGGAAATTAGACTATGTATACTATGCTTCTACTATGTCTAGACAGCGAATTCTGTCTCTGATTTCTCATAAGCATCCCAGAGAGGAACTAATAAAAAGGTATGTGCCACCGGCTAGACTCAGGGTTGGCGGCTATCTAAACAGCTGGTTCTTAGCTAAACGACAGGGTAGCTAGCGAGATTCACTTCAATGAACTCTCACTAAACCTCAGTTTTCGCTCAACTAAGCACTGGCGCTTTTTTCCGTAATATAGGATAATGATTGGGCCTGGTTCGTAGCTTCCGCCCATTCTGACAGCGTGTGCGGCCAATGAGTCCAGAGAGGTTCTCAACCAACTGTCACTGAAAGCCTCATTAACCGTTGTATGTTTTCGAACGCAGGGATGTCCGTGATACCTGCATGACTAACGGGCTTGCAATAAAGGGGACAAAAATAGCCGTGGTGAATTCTACAAAACAAAAATTGAGAATTTGAATCATCGAGGATGTACATATATACATATCAGGTGGGCGGAGGAAACTACCTTTCACACTACAAGGCACATCTGGTCAAAAGTCTCTGAAAAGCGATCTAAAGCTCTGCCTCGACCACTTCTTTCTAAGATCAGCATTTATCATTGCCCCGACCTGACTAAGACGCTTAACCAATTCCTTAACGAATACTTCACTGGATTTTTTGGGCGACTTAAATTCAACGAAATTTATCGATATTCGGTGACCAAATTGCTGAAGAAAGTAAGGAAATTAATAACCCTCTCGTCAGTGGTATCCCAGCGGTAGCAGCTAATCTAACCTAAACTTAGTTTAGACGAATATTTTTTACGTTTAGAGAAAAAAATATTTAACTACAGAATCAAACAATTTTTTACTTGTGTGTAAACGTAGTGTTAACTTGAACTATAACTTAAACTATGCAAACAGATCATTAGGTTTTATTGCTAGGGTATTTCTATCTGGCAAGGCCCTAACTAATGTCAATAAGAAATAAAATAATAATAAATACTCTCTTCCGGTTGGGCACTTATACGGCGACGACGTGTTTTATTTGCTAAAAAAAAAAACGATATCAAAGAATATCACAAAACTTAAAATAAGAGTATTTATATCTGGAACGTTAAATAACTTTTTTTCGAAACCTAAAAATCATGGACGTTTTCTGAAAATCTACCGACCAACGAAACCCGATTATCAATTTTTTTGGCTGATTTTCAGTCATGATATGGTGATTCAAGTGACAGAAATTATTTGTGATATGTTAACGATTCTTTATATATTTTTCTGACAGTTGGAACTACAGGCTTTGGTCATGATATGGTGATTCAAGTGACAGAAATTATTTGTGATATGTTAACGATTCTTTATATATTTTTCTGACAGTTGGAACTACAGGCTTTGGCATGCACTTCGTCATGGAGCGATATTCCGTTGAACAGCGCGTAAAAGTGATCCAAACGTTTTATGAACATGGTCGTTCTTTAAGAAGTGAATTTCGCGCATTAATACGTTTAACAAGCAAACGTTATGTTAAATAAAGGATACGTTAGCAAGCAAAACTGCCGCATTCGGGGTACTAAAATCAACATACGGGTATCATTTAAGAAAATACTGTGTTTGGTGTGGTTTTTGGACTGGCGGAGTCATTGGACCGTACTTCTTTGAAAATGATGTCGCTTAAGCTGTAGCGGTGAACGGTGAACGTTATCGTGACAAGAACTAACTTTTTATGGACTGAATTAGATGACGTGGGCTTGGGATGAAATAAAGAAAAATACCTAATTTCAAAGAATTTTTTTGGGTGTTTTTTATTTATTAAAGAAAGTCTACGGTCGTACACGTAAGTGAGTTTTTTGTCCACTGGGTCCGTTTTCATGTCCTTACTAATATTTATAAATACATACTAAGGTGGTTAGAGGAATAGTTAGCGATTTTGTGGTCACTCTCCTCATTGCTGTATTTATGGGGTATCTAAGTAATTTTCGAAATATGTAGATGACTCAACGAAGCAGACACAGCCAGGATTTTTTTATGCCAACCGAGGAGCTATTGCTCACATGTAATGTTATATTATTTGGAGAAAATTTTGAGATACCACAAGCACATAGATTTTCATAATCACTCATATTCTTTCCATTTTACCTTTCCACGTTTCCTTATCAAAGGACATGTATGTATGTATGTTCGTCACGTCACTGCCACACATTTTCACTATATACATGTATGTACATACATATGTATGTATGTATTTCGTTTGACACTCAGGACACCACTTACCTGCGCCAACTCCTTTTCAATTTGGCCAGCACGTATGACCAGCGGTCCGCGCACAGCATACTCCAATTCAATGAATTGAGGATTGATGTTGTCCAGCGACAGACATTTTTCCGCTGTAGCGGCGTTTTGCGACGATGTCGTTGACATTTCACGTTTGCCGTTGATCAAGGACACTGCTGTAAGTCTACAACTCCGGCTAGTATTCGCCTGGGAAATGTTCACTAATGACGCACTAAATCAATTTGAAATAAGAAAGGCAAAATTTCGTAAGCTCTTTTCACAACTTCTAAAATACTTCACAAGCTTTTGTTGCATGCGATTTGCTTCGTTCACTTCCACTTTGTTTTTTGTCAAATATATGTACTTATACATATGCAAAGTTGGTCTAAGGTAGCGACAAGATCAAACACCAGCGACCGACTACAACGACACAACTCTTCCAAAGCGTTTCGAACGACTGTGCATTCTATGTGCACTAATAGCCAGCGGTAGACGGCTGATGATATGGCAAGCCGGACGTTGTGTAACTAGTATTTTCGAGTGGTGAATGAGAAAGAAAGTGGGCAGCAAACGAGAAATAGCAGCAACAAAAGCAGTGATATTAAACGTAAGTATGTATGTATGTATGCTTGTATGTACGTTGTAGGTACGATTTAATTAAATATTTAATGAAAACACACTGAAAGAACTGATACGAAAGCTATGCATTGTCAAACTCAAATGTCAAAATTTACAAAGAATGATTTCTAATTGGGGTGGCTTACTTCCAATGGCGATACACGGCAGTACTGATGCGATTCATGTTTGCTGCTTTTTGCTTTTGTGTTTGTCCTCTTCCTGTTTGTTTTGGTTTTTATAAAGTTGTTGTTATGGGAATTGAAATTGGTAAATTTTGCTATTGTGTATTTAGTGGAGGTTGGCGCTGGTGCTGTTGTTACGTTTAGTGGGGCTGGAAGTTGTTGTTAGTATAATTGGCTAGAAAACAAACAGAGAAAAGATGAAAAGAACAAAAAGAAGTTATAATGAGAGAGTCAAGAGATATGTATGTAAGAATAAAAGAGCTTAAGTTGAGCAGAATAAATGCATTTTTCATTGTGTTTGTATACTTTTCGCCGTTTTGGTTGTACACATTTTCTATTTAATGCAAATATGTACATACATACTTAATGACAACAATGGCTACGAAGATGGCGCGTTAAGGAAATGCCAAATACTCTACACACTACAATATTTATGACATTTGTTTGTCGCGAAAGCTTTTAGTCGTGACACGCACCATGTTCTGCTATCGGAAATCGTCATTATTTGCATAATACGGATGGAGAGAGAAAAATAGCCGTTTGACTCTTAACAACTGAGAAAATAACAATAAAAGTTACCTACCCAGCAAACCTTTTTGTTTAGTATAAACTTGGGACCCATTTTATATTTTATGTACTAGGTTTATCAAATTTCCAACGTATATTCACAACAGCATCTCGACAAGTTGTTTATAGTGTTCTTAAATTTTTTTACTCGAAGATTTTCGTAGTCATCAAATTGAAAATGCCTCAAAGAAATTTCTTCTTCACTTATTCGATTTTTCACATTTTCTGCAAAAATTAAAACATTTGGTTCACCGCTGCTGCTATATCAACACCTTCGCAAATAAAATGCTTATGTACATATAACTTCTGCCAGAAAGTTGTTAATAATTTCGCAAATATTGGTATAAGCCAGTTTGACGTCAAACCTATAAAAGTCAAAGTTTTCGCGAGAGTAAAACGGCAAATGAGCGTGTGTAAGGAAAAATAAAAAATTACTTATTACTGGTTGACGTTTTTAAGTAAATTTGAAGCTTATTTTTATTTCATTATTTTCTTTAGTTAAAATTGTGTTGTTGGAGGGACTTTCCGGCATAAGCGTAAACGTAGAAAACGAGTTGAAGTTTAAAGGTTTGTTTCTCATGAGAGCAACGTCAAAAGCAATTTCATGAAATCAAAATAACTACCAAAAAATGCGAATTTTAAAAATTTTTCGATTAAACGCATAGTTTCTCTCACTAAAAAAATACAAACTTTCGAAAAATAAAAAAATCTCAACAACTTCTGCATAAAATTTAGAGTAAAAAGTCTACTTAGCATTTCTCAACTGGACGCATCGCTTTCGAAAAAAAAATTCCAAAAATAATGCCTCATTTATATACAAATTATTTAAGATTTGTAAATTATAGTTTTAAAGTATTTAAATACACTCTGTTTCGTTTATTTTTGTGAAAAGAATACCGCTCAAAGTCGGTGTTATCGTCTTTTTACCAAATTTGCTTTAATTAAATTAATCTGAGAGAAACCCTTCTCGACATTTGCTGTTGAAACCATATAGAAAATCTTAAAGGCTACCAAAAGTATTCATGCTGAAGATTTTTAACAAGGAATTTTGGTTTCATTTAAATAACTTCAGTTTAAGACTTTGTCAAATTTTTTTGAAAATAAGTCTTCGGTTTGAAGATAAATCTTCACTTTTGGCTACATGTTAAAATAAGGAGTTTAACGATATTTGTGATATTAATGCGTTTTAATCTATCTAAAAAATCCTCATAAGTCTTATAAGGAATGGCCTAAGAATGTATGTATTTGTTTTCTACATAAATAATTTTATCGAGCATACTTTATATGGAAGAAAATGCACAACACCGTCAGCTAAAAAAATTACTAAAAATCAATGCGATTTTCTTGAGAGTCTTGAAACTTTCACTTAATTCTACTAAAATTTAATCAGCTAATGGTCTGCACACATAAAATTTTTATAAACATTCTGTGTAAAAATTTTGAGGTTTTTGGGTGTAATTGTTAAAGTTTGTTGAATTTTAATATTTTTTGCACAAAGTTTGAAATGTGGATTTATACGATGCTGGTTATATAACGTGCTAGCCTTTTATAAAAAAAATAATTAAAATTAAATAAACAAAATAAAAATAGCCCAGAACTGGTCAGAATGTCACTTAACTTAATCAGCTGGCCACAAATGTATATTTCTTATATAGCCCCAAATATCAAATTTAAAACGAGGCTAGAACAATTTTTGTAATTATAATAGTTTTAAGATATTAAAAAAATAAACTTGCAAAACCGAGTAAACTTTGAACTTTAGAATTGTTTTTTAAATTTTTTTCCTTTAGCAGAACTTTGTTATAAGGTAAGAGAAAAGTTTTTACAAAATTGCATCCAAATCAAAAATGGTCGACTTGACATGGATTTACCCATATGTACGCTTGTGGGCACATTTCACGGCTCAAAGGGTGATGAAATATCCTATTTACGAATCATTGTGACGATCAAAATAATAGAGTGATCTACATAATAATCTTATCTTAACGATGGCCCGTTTCATTTGACCTCTGAACATTGTGGGACCGAAGGTGTTTCTCGACAGACATACATACATATAGCAGTTACTTATTTATTACTGTAGGTAAAAGATTATTTATTTACGTAAAATAGTTTGAATGTTTTTGCATAATTTTAACTTTCTTATCATAAAAATAAATAAAATTAGGTATATATGTCAATTATGAAAGTTTCAGGAACAATTTATATTCCTTGGCTATGTTTATTTCTTTTCTATGACCCACACTGATACCCACCCATAAAAGCGCAACACTCAATATCGATCGATACATATTAGCACATTTTCCTCTTAAGTTTTGAGTGCTCTTGAATTTTTGTTTGGACTAAAAAACTACTCAGTCAATTGGATTTGTGTTGATAACAAGGAAAACCATATGTATGTATGTATACATACATGTAGTATGTTTATAAATGAATTCACATTAGGGTGGCCCAAAAACGCATGGGAAAAAGTAAAGTCGGACATTTTATGCTCTCACCTCCTAGGATTGTTTTATACCGAAAAATACCCTTATTTTGTTTATTTTGAAATCAAATCAAAGTTTTCCATGTATTTTATATGGGAAAAACAACTTTTCATAGAAATGGTATAGAATAGTTAAAAATCAATATTTTTCTATCAGAAAACTCTGTTTATCTGCAGGAGATTCCCAATAATAATACCCAATTGTTTATTTAACCATTTTATCATCGCAATTATAATTTATAGGTCCGCCAAAACCCACAAAAACCCCGAAAAATGCAATGGGGCGACCAATAAAAAATCGTTAGTATTAAAATATGGTTAAATAAACAATTGGGTATTATTACTGAAAGTCTCCTGAAGAGAACCAGAGTTTTCCGATCGAAAAATATTGATTTTCAAGAATTCTATACCATTTCAACGAAAAATTTTATTTTTCCCACATAAAAATACATGGAAAACTCTAAATATTTTTTGATTTCAAAACAAAAAATAGGGGTATATTCTATTTTCTATATAGAACAATCCTAGGGGGTGAGAGCATTACAATTCCGACTTTACTGTTTTTGGACCACGCTCATGCACATATATGTAAATATGTGTGAATTTATTAGCTTGCAATTATGTTGTTGTTTTTTAGTAAATCACAGTACTGTACATATAAAATTTACTACCATATAAAAAATATTAGAAATATGACATGATCTCAAGAAGCGAATTTGAACAAAGTTTCGCGACATGGACTCATTTTATGCTACGGTTTTAGTGTTCCGTGCATTCATAAGAGGGTGTTTGGTACCATAATTTGATTTACTGTTTCCAGTTATCATAGGTCCGACAAGTTGATTCCACGAAATTCACAATTGTACTAATATTTTGTAATCAGACGGAAATGCTTTTTAAAAACAATACCTATTATAAATTACACTGTGCGACAGTCGAAACCAGCCCGGACTTTGTTAACATTTTCTGAAAGCATACCCATCCAATAGAAAAACACTCGATGGATTTGCAAAAGTTAGCTCGTATTTTCTATTTTATGGCCTACTAAAGTTTTCATATCCCTTAATAAGTAGTTTTCAAAGAAGTGGAAAAAATGGTTCAAATTAATGTCTGCGTGAAATTAAAGGTTAAGACATACATAGTAAAATTTCATGGGAAATATATTCGTAGAACATTTTAACCCATTAGCTTTCGCCTTAAAGGGTCGTTTTGACCCTCACTTCAAGAAACCCCCGCAAAAAACACATTTGGAATTTCGTTAGAGAAATATTTATTATTCTACTGACAATTTTAGTAGGGGTTTTCGCAGGAAAAGCTTCATGCCGCCAACGTAAAAGTCTCGAAAAAAAATTAAAATAAAAAATCTTTGCCAAGAAGAATAACAGCCAAAGTTAAAATTGGAAAATTTTTTGAAAATTTCGCTCAGCCCAAATATATCCATACCTACTGCTTTACATATAAATTCCAAAGTATAGACATATGGGTCTTTCCAGCGGAAAATACGACATAGATTTGCAAAAAATGGAACCGCTAGATAGTGCTGAAATCAAAATAAAATATAAATTAGACATAAAAATTCATGTTTTATTTGTGCTAGAAATTAGTTTAAAAACAGTATTAACAAAAAAAGTCAATGGAAGTTCAACTAACGTAACGTCATGTCGGATTCTTCGGCTGATAAAAAAGTCAGAACAGATTTTTAAATTTTGAAACGTGAAAAATGTAGATATCTTAAATATTTCAAATATTACTACAAAGAATTTTATACAAATAGGCTTGCCCAGTCCCCAATTCGTTAGCCTATTTATGAGTAGGCACTCTAAAAAAGTGCTTTTAAAAATTCGATTAATCGATTATTTCTTAATAATTGCAATTAATTTTTTTTCGGGCTTGTGATTAATCATATGATTAATTAATCGATTATTTTATATTTTTTGCCATCCCTAGGTATACATAATGTGAATGTAGATGGCAATTCATTAATTTGTATATTATGTATATGTAAGTTTGTTTTACACATAAATTTATATACATACATTAGTATGTATGGAGTAATTACAAATTTAATAATCTGACACACAATTGGAAGAAGAGATAAGAATTTTATTAAATACTCTGAACTT